GGCCTCCCCGAGCTGTTGGCGTACGGCAGCAGGCCTGGCAGCGGGAATGCCCTGTCTCTGCCAACAACACGCTCACATCGGGGAGCCTGAAAATTTCCGCTTGCTGGGTTGCAGGCGGCAGAGCCGCACAGGAGAGCCGAGCGGAGACCCCGGCCGCGCGGAGCGGGGCACGCGCAGACCGCGCGGTCACCACAGCGGGCACCTGAGCCCGCTGCCGCAGCAACGCCACTCAGGGCCTCCACCACTGGCGGCGTCCAACCCCTGTCTACACCCATCCAGGCCACTGGCCCCCTGCCTACCTCGTCGGCAAGGCTACGGGGCCAGCTAAGCATGGGGCGGGCCACAGAGACGCCCCCACGCACTGTCCTCTCCATCCATCCGAGCACAGCTGCTGGCACGCGGTGCCACAGCCCCACTTCCAGCTCCTGGGGACGGAGTCACCACCTTCCTGACAAATTGCAACAGCAGCTCCCTGCGCTCCTCAGGAGACGGCCTGTTAGACACCGAGCACTGCCCGATCCACAAGAGAAGGGAAGCCAGGGGCGCCCTTCCAGTGGGAATGGCCGCGACGCGGGCTAGGGCAAACACGATGGTGTCATCGACCATGTTAAGTAATTTGAAGGTTAACAGGAATTTCCTCCTGTTGGAAAGGGTGACATTAGATGCACCTACAATAATTACATTCTCTCTGTGGGACTAAAAACTCTCTTCTGGCTGCCCTGTGTGCTGAGTAACGAGCATTTGGAGTCTCCAGTGATGAGAACCAAAACTGCGATACAGATTCTCCAAAGATAAAATGAAAGACAGGCACAGAAGTTAGGCTAACGCATTTACCAGAAAATCAGCCTCAAATGCACTTTGAGGGCTTCTGAATCCAGTTTCAGACAAACCTTGAGCTGCTCATCATGGGACTTTTCTGTTTAAAGGCCACCCTGTGCAGCGCTCCTGCCGCAGGGCCGGTGCCAAGCCGCTCGCCAGCCCCGAGGCGGTCGCCGTCAACGAGGGGGACATGGAGCGGCCCTGGGGCCTCTTATTTTTCGCGCGTGCACAAAACAACGCGCACATGGGCATAAGCAAACACTGCTGTCCCCGGCTATGCGCTTCCAGCTCTGAGCAGAAGATTCAGATGTTTGACATATCACCCAACCTCACCTCTCCTTATTCTGACCCTGCTGCCTTCCCGTGTCCCCCTTCCCACCCTCGCATACATGTGTCGGCCACTTGTTCCTGTGGATTTAGCCTAGTTTGGATCAAAGCTTCCTCTACTTCATTTAACAGATTTGCTCCGATGGAAGGTCTCAGGGGAGAAATAATGTTCGTAAGAGGGGGGTTTTCAGCATTGAGTATGTAGGTCATTGGACTTTAAAATAAATTAGAGAATAGTTTATCTATTAAACAAGCTTTGCAGTACATATTTCATGAAGCTATACTTAATTATAGGCTAATGTGCACCACAGAGCTACCGTGAAGGAAGATTAAGCAGTGGCCCATAACGCAGTGATTAATACAATTATTAGCTGGCTGGCACGCAGCGTCTCTTCGTTGGTACTGCCAAGAGAAACAAGAGCCCTCCAGTTTTTGAGGTTGGCGCTTCCTGCTAATGCAACAAACCCAAACATTTCCAGACAGAAATGCAAGTGTCTCCACGCTTCCTGGGGACAGGAATGTCGGGAGGCAGCAGGGGAAACGCAGGGAGGTGAGAGCGGCCTTCCAGATCCACTGCAGGCGCTTTTTGTGTTGCTTCTCCACTGTGGGCTTTTGGGAACACCCCATGTATTCAGCTGTGCAGCACAAGGCTGACTGTATCCGAGCTCCTCTTATTATTACCTGGGACAACAGCCTCTGACCCAAAGGGAGATTGGTACGAGATTAATTAATTTTGGAATTACAAACTGAGGAGAGTGAGGCATAAGTATGTACCCACAATCTTTTGCTACAGCGACGGCTCCTAGGGAAATGATGCACTATACATAAAATCCATACTAAGGCCCCGAAGTCTAATGGAATGCAGCTCTGAGATGACATTAATGTTTTATGGATGTTAAAGACTTGCCTGTTCTGGTATCACTGTTACAGACTGTACAGTACACTGACATCACTTATGAGGGAAAGCTAAAAGTAGATTATTTCTCTTTTTTTTGTATAAAATTACATTTGCCTGTTATCATGAGGAAATCAAAAATAATGAAGAGTTCTTTTTTTAAAAAAATAGAAAAGCTAGAAAAGTTAGTGCCACTAAAGATACATTTGGCAGAAGGAAGGACCGACAAAGTAGGTGATATTACTACCCCGAACTGCACTCCCGTGCGAACTTGTCCGAGGACAGATCATCAGAGCACATTTCCGGGCACAGCCGTGCCCGGGAAAGGTGCCTGACCCCTTCCTGGAGGACGTTACCTTGGCACGTCCACCCAGGACAGCTCAGCTCCGTGCTCCCGGTCCGTGTGCTCAGCCTGGGCCAGTACACGCATGGGAAAGCCCAGAACCATCCAAAAGGGGTGATGCTGCTCCCCATGGGGCTACAACACCTGCTCACCACTGGCTTGCTCAGTGCTCATTTGGAGGTTTCTGCATCACCCTGGTCTGTGCAGTGTGGGCATCTCCTGAGAAAGCCTCAGGTTTTCAGCCTGAAGCCACCCAGCTTTTCTTTCGGCTGCCGGCAGCCTCCCTCGTGCCTGCAGGCAGAACAGCTGTGAGCAAGAGAGTTTGGGCATTTCTCGTGGGAGGCACAAAGGCCACGTGGAGGGAGGCTCAGGCAGGGCCATGACACCTCGAGCAGCTGCGCAGCATCACGTCGCTTCCCGGGCCAGGGGTCTGCAGCCCGGCGCGCACCCGCGCAGACCCGGCTGCCCTCCAAGCGACGGGACCCAGGCAGCAGGGCTGGCTGCAAGGAAACCACTGCACTAAGCACAAAGCTACCCTCCTGTTGGGCTATACAATAAATGTGCCCACACATGGCACTGCAGCAACTAGCTTCCATGCTACTCTGCCGAGGTATTGTGTTAACACATGGATTTTTAGGTGTTTAAGCATTCGGTATTAGAAAGGCTCAGAAAGAGTTTTCGAAATCTTGAATACAATCTCGGCTGTATTTACCCTCTTCTCCTACAGAAGTGGAATTCTTCTGTATGATACACGATGGAGCTGTGACAGCTGGTGTGAATGGTGGCTGCCTGTGGAGAGACAGCTCCGCTGAGACCCCAGTTCTGGTGCACGCTACTCTTTAAAGAACCTGGAACTAAGGGAAACTTGGAATCCTAATTCCTAAGGGGGGTTGCAAATGCTGTCAGGTGGGACTGGCCCACAGCCACCCTGCCAGGAGCCGCAGAAAAAAGCACATTTCGCTCAGAGCCCTGCTCAGTGTCCTAAAATCACTGAAGCTATGCCAGAACACCCCAGGAAAGCAAAGCAAAATACTGCAGCTGATTCAGTCCAGATTTCGGATTATCTATCAGGAATGTGGAACAACCTTTGTCGCGGATGCTGTTAAACACCACGGGCAGAGCCACTGCTAGAAGAAGGTCCCGGTGGTCTCCCTCTGCCTCCCGCCTGTGCTCTCACTGCCGTCCAGGCTGGCGTATCAGAACCTTGCCTCCGTTTAAATGCCAGATCGAACACAAAACTGTAAGGCAGCTTTTGCATTTGGGGATGAGCTTTTGGTTTATTAGCAGATCTGAGCACTGCCGAGCCTGCTCCGCAATCTGGCTAAAGCTTAGAGACAGTGGCAAACCCGCAGAGGCAGCGATACCACCGACCCTCCTGCTCAAGTTCACACTATGTCATTCTGTCAATACCATCTACCTTGATTATAGTAGGCTTTATATACAACAGGTTATGTTCCCAGAGGGATGAAAAGCTTTTCCAAATTAAAAGCAGCATTTTAAAGAGGAAATACTCATACATTCCTATGTAGTTTTCATTTGATATCCTCAAGCCTAACCCCAGAACTCGAAGTCATGTTGATTGAAAATGAATGTTTTTTCTGAGTGCAGCCATCTTATGAATTTAATGGAAGAAGGGAAGTAATAAAAATGTGCTCCATACTTTAATTAGTTTCCTCATAACATGGCATTTCCAAAATGGCAATGCCAAAGAAAATCATTAATCCAGGAGAGCCAGCAAAAGCACTGGATGGAGCAAGGGACAGACCTCCAGGAGACACATACAAACGTGGCCCTCGGTTTTCTCTTGTCCTTAAAGCTCACCTCAAAGATCAACTCTGACAGCACGAAAGAAATTTGTACCAATATTTAAGCATGAAACCACTTGCCACTCCTTTAGCCTTACCAGAGAGTACCATGGATTAGCAGGTATGTTTTGCGTGCATGGAACAGTGCCCAGCAGAGGGATGAGCGCAAGCAGCCTGCCTTTCTCCCCGTGCACTCACATGCGCACCCAGCCGATACCACCCTTTGAATATTCCAACACCTGAGTTTGATTAGTTGAGAGAAACTGTCAGATGTATGAAGACAAACACCATCTACTGCAAATGGCAGACACCTTTCCTGCAGCCAGCTGGCACCGAGAGTCTTTCAGGCTATGGACACTTTTCTTATGGACTTCTTGGGACAGGAGCTTCTGGCGCCAGCCTTGACACCAGCGTGGAAAGCAAGGAAGAAGCTGAGGAAGGGGCAGAAGCCCAAAGACCCCTCTAACTCCCACAGTCTCTTGTTACCTCTTCCCAGCCACGAGGCAGGAGCAGATGTGGAAGTCGACAGCCAGGAAGGGGAGCTGAGGGAAGTGCTCATGCAAGTGGAATTACCTCTGGAGAACACAGCTCAGGGAACAGCACTGGGATGACCAAATGCAAACCAGCTGCCGTCCCAGTAAGAAGCTCTCTTGTTCAATCCCAACAGAGAGACTGGGAGAAAGAAAGGGAGGGTGATCTCACCTGTTTTCCACTGCCCATCTCCTGCCTTGATCAGCAACAACCACAAAGCCCATAAGAGTCACAACTTTGCCCTCTCACCTCTGCTTGGTTATAGAACAGAAATCAATACCTGTGTACGGTTGAATGCTACTCTTGCAAAGACAGCTTGAGACACACTGGCTCTCTTCAGCTCATCTCTGACTTGCTGGTAAATATCTGGAGAGACTTCCACCGACGAATTCGACGGCTCCGGCTTGACAGCTCGAGGGATGGGCGGATGGTTCAGGAACTGCTGGTTGATGGCTTGCGGGTGCTGGTGAGCCAGCAGCCGGCTGACGGCGATCTGCTGGTTTATCAGGTGGGCCATTGCTATCTGCTGCCTCACCAGCTGCGGGCTGAGCTGAGGTGACAGGAGCCCCGGGTTTATCATGGTCTGCATCGTTGGCACTTGGTTTCGGATTGGAGTACTGTGGTGAATTTGGCCATGAGGAGACTGTTCGTTAGTTTTTCCCAAGGTCGCCAGCTGGTTGATATTTGGTAAGTGCATGGGACGCTGTCCGAGAACACAGTAGTCTGAAAGGTTTTCTCTTTCAACTCTTTCCACTGTTAAAAGAGAAAAATTAGTTTGCTGTCATTTCAGTGTGCGCTTGCGAGAGGACTGTTAGGGTGAGGATTACTGCAGGTGACTGCACACAACAGCACACCCACAGCCCTTTGCAGGTCTGCACTTGCATAAGAGCTCCACAAAAACACGTAAAACAGAAGCAGCACAGAGGAGGAACAACACTAAGCAACAGCCGCTCACACAGGTTTCGCCCGCTGCGTAGGAAGCCTCCTTGTCACGCAGGTAGCGGGTTTCCTCTGCAGCCTCATTTCCTAAAGCAACCAGCTCAGACCTTTCTGCTCATACAGACACCAACTTTTGAATCTGACATCAAATTGAAGGAATTTTCAAAAGGAAGTGAATGGGAAACCCAAGGTAGGGCTTTGGGTGAGGGAAAGGAACCCAAATTAATATCCATTCAAACAAATCCAATGAAAACTAGACCCATCTTCCTGAATGCTCTACAGCAGCACCAAGCCCCTGGCGTGAAGCATGATACAAACCATGCCTGCCCCAAGCCAGGTATGAAAATATTTCAGAACCATGGTTTCTAACCTTTTTCTTTTTATTTTCTGGGGGCCTTCGCAAGAGGGACAACGTGAGGTGGGCAGGGGGAAGGACACAGGCCTCTTGACTGTGCTCTCTCTTCACCCCAGCTTTCCATTAGTGTCCAAACCTCAGCACCGAGTCTGCCACAGCAGCTTCAGTGAGCGCAGGTTGTGAGGAGACCCTGCTTTATGGTGCTGTTCTTAGGGCTTCACGCTCCTCCAAAAACCTTTCTTTGGCACATCAAAGACCTGTGACTCTTAAGTGACACCATGCTGAACAAAACAAGGCCCTGCAACCCAAATCTGTGTCCCGCAGTTGCATATGTAGATACATGCTGTCCCTTCTGAGTATGTGCTATCAGCAATGCCACAGCATCTTTTCATGCAAGTGCAAAAGAAGACGTGCCGTGGAGCCCGGGCCCGCGGCGAGGGCATGGCGGCCTCGGCCTCCGCCGCGCCTCAGCAGAGCACAAGCCAGGATTCCGATCGCAGATGCCATAACACTGCAACAACCTGTGTAATGATTAACCGCTGCACAAGGCTTTGAGCCCCTTCTTAACACTTCCTCTGCATGAAGCTCGGGAGCCTTACGCAGCCGACGCTGAGCAGGGCAGTTCAGTGGGGACCTCCCATGCGCCCTCCCCGCGGCGCAGAGGGCCCTCCTCAGCCTCCAGGGCCGCTGAGGGCCACGAGTGCCCACAGTGCCAGCGCTGCTCTCCCTCCGCAACGCCAGCCAGGGCCCAAGCCCACCCCCGCCTCAGCCGCACACCTCTGCTTTTCTTTTTCTTTTTTTTTTTTTTGTGGAAATTCTCATTATTTTGTAAGAAATTTTAATTTCCTTTTCCTGTTCTTTGGAAGAAAAACAATCCACAAAACTTTCAACCTTCCATAAAATAATTGCCCTAAGAAAGCTGCCCCAGGTTTTAGGCCGGTGGCGCCGGCAGGGCAGGGGGACGGTGCCCGGAGGGGAAGCCCCCGCCTGAGCAGGGCCATAACCTCACGCACTTCCAGATATGGGGACAGGCACCTGCAGCCTTCGTTTGCACCCCTCCGAATCTAGAGGCCTTATACCAGGAGCTTCAGGAGAGCTGAAATAATCTCTGAACCATTTTGTTCAAGTTTAAGAGATTCACAGAGAATAAGTCACTGAAACCAGCAAATTACTAATTGTTAGAACACAAAAACAGTAACCAAGTGTTTTTGAAAACTTGGTGAGAAATAAATACAAATAAAATTAACTTCCTGGGCTGAGCCACATTTGCCGAGTTTCCACCCACTCCTCACTTCAGTGCCAAGTTATAAACCCCCATAAAAATAAAGCTGGAGATGAAAAGGCTGCCAGGCTGCTAACTCTGCGGTGCTGCTTGGAACGACATGAGCAGGGAGACATCACCTGATTGGCTTCCACAGGTGTATTTTCCCCTTATTATCAGTTTCCTTTTTCTGCCATACGAGACTATGCAGCCACGCATATACTCCCAATAAACCAACCGGATTCTAGTCACCTCAACCACTTCACTAATAAAAGGTTACCATTAGCAGTTACGCTGGATGGAAAAAATGTGCATTACTCAAGTGCTCGGGCCCTGTGCTTCTCCAGCAGCAGTGCCCGGATCGGGTTCCCCACTGCTCTCCCTGCCGGACCAGGCGCTCCTGCGGGAAGGCGGCGATGGGGCCGGGAGCACCAACTCCCAGCCGCGCTCCCAGGAGCAGGGCGGCAGCGCACCCTCCACGCGCACCCTCCTCATGCCACGTGCTGTCGCCGGCACGGTCTGAGCCACCTGCACCGCTGCTCCACGCACCTGGAGATGCGGGCTGGTCCCTGAATAAGAGGGATGCAGCGGCCGCGAAGGCAGAGCAGCAGGATGGCAGGCAGCACGGGGTTCCACGGGCTTGTGTTCAAGCCCTGCTGACAAAGGCACCTCTGCTCGTGATGCCAGGGCTGGGTGAGCAGCAGCAGCGGCGGCAGAGGCCCCTGCCCGCCTCCTCCCAGCAGACTTGGAGACGTCCCCTCTGGCCGCTTGGCCGCGCGCCCTCCAGCCCTCATGCCGAGAGCTGCGGCAGCTGCAGCGCGGGGCGGCCCCACTGCACTTCCCCGAGGCCGGGAGGCAGCTCGGGACACGGGCTGCTGCGCTCTGAGACGCCCCCCGGCCTGTGGCCTGCTCCAACCCATCCCTACCTCTACCAAACGGTCCGACACCAACACAATCCCCAGGACAGGAGCAGCCAACTGCCATGTTTCAATGCTCCTTTCTCCCCTAATGGTTACCACGTGTGTCAATGTATTTCAGCTTCATACTGCGCTAGAAACTTCCTGGATACAGCACAAAAGCAATCCAAAGCACTCTTCCCCTGTGTGATGCTCTAACCTCTACCCAACTCTTCCTCGCGCAGTCAAAGAGCTGACGCAGTCCGCAGCACAATAGCTTGGGGTGGTCTGCCTGCAACTTTCCATTTGAAAGAAAACCAGCTCAAGAGATTTAAAATAAGATTTATTTCTCCACCTTCCCTTCCCCTCACCCTTTATTTTCACTGAGTTGCTAATAGAAACATTCTGACAAACAGCCTGTGGGGTATTTAGGGCTTACGAGCAGTGCTGAGCTGACTGGCAGCACGGGAGACCAAATTCCTGGGAGCGGGAGAGGATGGTGGGGAGCGCCGGAGCTGAGGGCGCCTCCTCGCAAGGGCGACACGGGGCCCTGCGGCACCCGGGAGCCAGGGGCCCCAGCTGCGCCGCCCGCCGTGTGCCCGCGGGCCCCGTGCCCCAAACGGCGAGGGAGGGGGCTGGGC